TTTTATACTAAAAAAAAAGTTTATAAAAGGAACCCAGATGTGTGTAACAGTGGTGGTGGTGAAATTAGAATAAATATATTAATGATACAGTCAGCAATTGACGGGGCTTGGAGCAACCTGGGCTAGTAGAAGGTGACCCTGCCCATGGCAGGGAGTTGAAACAAGATGATTTTAAGGTCCTTTCCAATCCAAACCATTCTGTGATTTTATTATTATCTCTGTTATTCTGAGCTTTAAAATACTAAGGAAAAATTACTGTGTGGCTGAACCTGTTAATGAGCCCGATAATTAACACAAGTACTTTAGCAGGAAATATTTCTGGACATCAGTTCCAATTTGTTTGTCTCCAGAGATCGTTTCAGGCAAACATCACCTCACCCATCATGGGTTTGCCTCTCCCACTGGCAACTCTGTACTCAGAAAAGCCACACTGATGGTGCCCAAAAACCCCCTTCTCCTCTACTTCTGGTTTTTATTCTGTCTCAATATCTACATGGAAGCCTTGCAGGTCATACCCTTTGCTGCCATAAATCAGCATAAATCCAGGTTGAACGAGGCTTGGAGCAACCTGGGCTAGTGGAAGGTGTCCCTGCCCATGGCACAGGGTTAGAACAAGATGATTTTAAAGTCCTTTCCAACCCAAACCATCTTGGGATTCCATAATAACATCCTTGACCCCACTGAGGTACAGCTGGATTACACCTTCTCCCTGTTTCCTCCCTTCATCCTGAACACCTCCTTCACTTTGAGTATTCCCACTTTTATCAGAGAAAGCCCTGCCATTCCCTAACCCCACTCCCACAAAATGCCATGTGTTTTGGGTGTTCTCAGCACAGCCCTTCCTCACTCAGCTCTGCAAAAATTCCCATTCTTGAGTCCATAATTCCCACCCTTCGCCGGGAAGAATCCTGTGCATCTGAGCCCTTTGCTCGGCCTGACCTCGTTATCACACCCAACTGACTAATTGTTCTGTACCCACAGTCTGCCAACACGAACAGATCTGGAAACAAAGAAAAAAAAAAGTTGTTTTTTTGTTAAAACTCGCAGCTGAGAGAGCAACGGGGTGTGAGGGAACTCGTTGTTCTTCAAGTGAGATAAACACAGACAAAGAATGAAAGGAATTATGTAGGAACTAGGTGATAATTTATTTATAGACCTCTGCAGAAACACTGAAGTTAGCAAATATACCATCTGTTAAATAGTCAGCCTATTCCTGAGTGCATATTAGCAACCTAAATGTGTGCCAAACACCTGATCTTAGAGCTCTTATTTGATACTCTTCTTGACAAGCAACATTATGCTTTATTAGATTATGTCATGTCACGTTATAAAGCTGTGCTAGGTAACAGGAGAACACTGGTTGTGCTCTGCTGGGGTAAATTCCCACCCAGGGCAAAGAAAAGTGGTTTTGAGTGCAGTCAGAATTTCAGAATAACAAGAAAAAAAAATAGAATATCTACATTTTTATTCATCCTCAGGTAATTTTTTTATATCTACTTAACACATTTTAGCTTGTAAGTAATAATTGAAAATACACACAGTCCCATAGGGGGGAAAATGGATGAAGAAATCTTTGGAAAAAATAGAAACTTTATTTCTGATGGTCCAGCTCTTCCCCCTCTTTATCCCCCTGGACTGCATAACAAAGGGACACAATTTTATAACTCATTACTGAACCCATCTGAATGAGGTATCATAATAATCCATGGGAGATGCTGCCTGCCTGGAAAAAGGGTCCAATAAAGATAAAGAAACACCAAGGAACTATTTTTACTTTATTTTCCTTTGTTTTGCTCTCTTGGAGGTTTTTTTGTTAATTCTATTCTGCAATGATTCTTTATTGCAGAGGCAGTCACTGAATAAACTCGCTTTGTACAATTATTTATCAAAATCAACTTCATATAGGGAAAAAAGAATTATTTCTGTTTAAACCTATGAAATTTTGGGGGGTGAGAGTTTGTAAAAGATGCAGTGTGATGAAGACCTCAGAGTCAAGCACTGGAATGGATTGTCTAAAGAAAATTTTTATCCCTAGAAGTCTTTAAAAACGGGTTAAATAAGGACATCATGTGGTTGTACCTGTCATGGGGGAGATGAATAAATTAAATGATGATTTATGTGCCTCCTTTCTTATACCTGTGATTCACCAAGGGATGAAAATCTTCTCTCCAGCACTGGAAAATCCAGGATGGTTTGTAAAACTAAACTACAAACGTGCTGTGGAAGAGCTCAAACTCCTGTGTAGAGTTTTTGATACTCAAGGTTGAAAAGCGGAGATTAAAAAAGCAAAATCCACTTTTTCCCCACGTGGCTTTAAACCGAGGGTGGGATTAGGTTGGATATTAGGAAGGAATTCCTGGCTGTGAGGGTGGGGAGGCCCCGGCACAGGTTGCCCAGAGAAGCTGTGGCTGCCCCTGGATCCCTGGAAGTGTCCAAGGCCAGGATGGAGCAACCTGGGCTGGTGGAAGGTGTCCCTGCCCATGGCAGGGGGTGGAATGAGATGATCCTTAAAATTCCTTCCAACCCAAACCATTCCATGATTCTATGATATAACCAAAAGTAGTCCTGCTACCTATAAAACAGTGGATCCCCTAAGAAATCTACTGCTTTTTAATTATTCAAGTCAGGGCCACTTGTCACGGTTTTAATGGAGAAACACAGACAGGTGACACCACCTAAAATTAGAGTAAAAATGATAACATGACATATTGTGTCATTAAACTAAAAATTGCTACCAGCAACTCATTACTTTCCAAAATCTATTCCAATTTCAGAGTCAAGTATTACATAGTTAATTCTCAATTGTCATGAAAACCTTGTCCTGCTCCTGCACAGCACCTTTTTTCCCCCCTCCCCTCCTTTCTGGGATGTCTCATAAATGAAATTTTGTTCTCAGCAATAAAATAGGCCTGATTGTCCATAGTGAAAAGTATTGGAAAGCATTATTTAGGCTGCACAGATTTGCCATACTGCTCAAGAGTTTTTTGGGGTGTTTTATAACTCAAATTTTAAGTAGAAATTGCAGTTTGTGTTGTACGAGCAGCTCAAGGAAAGTGATGGCAAAAGCAGACATGACCCTTCCTGTTGGTGCCTGAATCCTAAAGAATCTGAATGTTTTGCACCTTCCCGATATTTTTTTATTTAATGTAAAAAATAGGATAATTTGAGGGTCTTCTACCCCTTCTCTCAGAACACAAAACCTCAGAGCAGCCATCCCAAACAAATCCTCATCCAAAGCCTTTGACAGTTGTCCCAGGGACCCCTTTTCCACACCAATATTTTGTGCTGGCCTTTTCCTTCTCAGAAAACACTGAATCCCCAGGAAAGAAAAGAATGAGAAAGTAAATTTTCTCAGAATTAATTTTTCAAAACAGATAAATAAATCCACACATTCAGAGGCAGGACCAGGAAGCAAGGTACGAAACCAAACTCCAATTAACCATATTCCAGTTTTCTCTTTCAATTAGTATTACAGGGTGGATTACACCTACACAAATGAATTTTATTCCCTTATTTTTCTTGGTCTTTCTTGTCTTTTTTTCCCCTCCTTTCACTACTCAGAGTGCAAGGCAGAGAACTATCCAGCAGGCAATTAAAAGAACATCAGAGTTGCAACCACTTTCCCAGTGTATTGACAGGAACCATCTATTGTGGCTGTGACAGCACAAGGAGGGGCTACACCTGGTTAATTCAATTCAGTCCCCTCTGAGGAGACAAAGTCTTCATAGGAGACCAATATCCAGGAGATGAAGAGGAGAAAAAGAAAAATTAACTGTGTAAAGTTCAACTAAGGGGGAGAAAATTGATATATTGACATAAATAGCTGAGCCTGGACAGGTAGAAATCGTTATTGCTTTGACCAACGAGAGCTGTTCCTCTCTGTTGAACTCTGGATCAGGGTGTTGTTCAGCTGATGAAAAATGGAACAATTGTTTGAAACAAGAATCTGCAGCAAGGTAAATAAAATAAGCTTAGGGCAAGCAGTTTGTGCCACTGTGGTATAAAGAGATTTAAGGGGAAGCAGATATTTGTTGTGTTAAAGCATATTTTGAATGCATTTCAGGCAATCGTTTCCCAAATGACTCTGACAAATAAGGGAAGGTTTCTCATTAGGGTGAGAACTGGATCAAAAAGAAAATAATCACTTTTTTTTAAGTACACCTATTGTGTCATGTTTTGTGATTGAATTAGTTAAAGAGAATTGGACCAATAATTCTTCAGCATCTCAGTGAAACGTGAGAAAGCAGAAGAGATTGAGTGCGGTGTTAAATTTGTTAAGAAAATAGCCTTTAACAGCCATAAAAAAATCACCCATGTGACATGGCCATAGACACGTTTTTACAGGAGATTTCCCTAAAGCATCACATGATTTCCTACTGAAAGTACCCTCTTTTTGTCCCCTTTAAAAGCAGTGCTAAATTTCAAGTCAATTAAAATCCATCCAGATGCCGCAGCCAGTTTAGGACAGAGCAGACTCATTAAGAAGACAACATACCTTTATCATCACTTAAACATCCACTCTGTGGGAGTCCTGATGAGGTTTAATTATCACTTGCATATACAGAGGAAACACACCTGCTTCTTATTTCTATACAAAAGGAAACACCACAAAATGCATTATTTTTTTTACCAACTCCTGTAGTTTAAGAGTCTTGTAAGTTCCAAAAAGTGATGCTGGAAAAAGTAGTGGAATAATGCACTGGCTTGGCAAGGAGGAATCATAAATACAGATTCCTGGGGTTAGAGTAGAACTGATTTATGAAGAAGTATCTCGGGAATACCAAAGGACTGGATGATCCTGGAGGTCTTTTCCAACCTTAACAATTTCATAATAAGAGGTTGGATGAGCTGTTTTTCTGTGCACTGTTTCAATTCACATCCAGATATTGTGCCATGCTATTGAATATGTGAATCTGTTACTTTGGTGGATTTATCAGGATGGAATCAGCAGTAAATCTGAGAGGTAATAACCGGGTCTTGTTCTCTCCTTTTCTCTCAAGATCTGGAAAACTTTGAAACCAGGACAAGGAGCACAGTGTCAGTGAGAGAAGGACAAGGAGTGGTCCTGCTCTGTGGGCCTCCCCCACACCATGGAGGTATGATGGATAACCCCACCCTGGGAGCAGCCCAGGCAATTCCTGCCTGATTAGCACTGGAATTTATTTATGTATGAAATATTCAGGTTTATAACAAATTTGGATTTCATTTCTTTAACAGACACTTCTTAGAGGTCCTTTTTTATTATTCTGTGGTTACTTGAGGGACTAGAACGTGTCATTGTTCTTTGGGGGTGATGTGGCAAAGAAACCACAAAGGGCTCAAAGACCACCTGTGACACATCTCAGCTCCTTCACACCCATGGAATGGCAGAGGAGAAGCCATCAGCAATTCCTTCTGCATCAAAACCACTCCAGGTCTGCATGGAAAGGCTCTTTTAGTGCTTGTCACTTCAATGCTCTAATTGGAATCCCACATTATACACATTAGATTTGTCTTCTGCTCTTGAATACCTGATTTTCTCCTTCCTGATCATCATAGGAAAATTTATATTGGAAGGGGCTTCTGGAGAGGTAAAGTGCCTGATTAAAGGAGAGTTGATTAGATCAGGTTTCTTGATATTTTTCAGTGCTTCAGATAGAGATTGAAAAGGAGTTTTGTGAGGAATTGATTTCGGGGTGCCTTACATCTGTCACCATTACCTGCTGCTGCTTCCTCACCATAAGACCTCTGAGACCTTCCTTTTTGTGTGAGGTAAAGTCCAGGTGACACAAAATAAACCAGGGATGGCCTGAGCACAGTGTTCCAAAGTTTTCATCTGAGGCAACCCTAAGTATGGGGTGGAAATTTCCTTTTCCCCCTTTTTATAGCTCTATTACCACCTCCAACATCAGCATTTTACAGAGCAATACAAAGGCTTGAACATGTGTGGGATTTTTTTCTTAACATTTTTCCACCTATTAGAAGTGAGAAGCTCTTGAGTGATCTTTTGAGACTTAATTTTCCCCCTCCTGAAAATGACTCCCAAAAGTTTTGAACCACATACCTTCACAAATCTCCTTGTGGGGGGTCAGAACCCACAACAAAACGGTTTCAAACCTTTTGAAGTCTGGAATAAGAACTATGTTTTCCTAACAGAACTACCTGAAGAGGATGGGAAATTTGGAACAGCAAATGTGTATTAATAAAGGGGAAATATTAATAACACAGTTACCAAAGTGCCTTGTCCTGGACTTAAAGAATAACCATTTTTTTGAAGACTTATGTCCTGCTTTTGGCAGTGACCACACACCCACAGGAGCTGCAGTTTTCCATGTGCCTGTTCCAAAATCCTCAATTCTTCTTAAAGAAACAGTTATAAGACAAACTCCCAGGAGAAGGTAAATAGTGATCTATAAAGAGGATGCAGGATATCAGAGAGGGAGAGAAACCCATCCATCAGTTTAAAGCCCTCAAGTGCTGAAGAGAGAGGTAATGACAGTCCACTGGGTGTTCACAGCCACGTGGAAGGAGGGTATAATCCAGGTATAATTCAGGAGATGAAGGGAAACCTGGCCCTTAAAGGCAGAAAAGGCTTGGAAGAATTCCTGAAATGTATCAGTGGGACAGACAGAAAGACAACACATCCATCCTTGAGCCATTGAACTATATATTTTTTCCTCTCGCTGTTGGGGAAAATTATGATTTGGCAAATAGGACCGAGTAGAAGGAAACATTCAGACCAAACAAATAGTTACCAGGCGAGTTCCCCCCACATTAATTGAGCTGACAAAGTGCTGTCCATGAACAAAGCCTTTAGCACAGGGTTCCTGGAGCTGCTGACCAACAGGCCTGGAAAATGCATTATCTGAAATAACAAGTCTCTAAAGAACAGCAACTGAGTTCTTTGGTCATCCATAAACACTGTATTTAGGACTCAAAATTATATACCATGGGGAGGAAGTACATGGTGTAAACTCTGATAAGTCATATGCCGTCTCAGGATGCTGGGGAAGTTGTTTTTATTGAAAAGATTGTATATTTAGGTCTTTTATTTAATTGGAACCCTTTGCCTGACTCACAATACCTGCAGGAGAAAGGATTGCTGGCTGTGCTTACAGCTCCCACTGCAAGCATTCTGTACAGTACTTTAAATTTGGCAGGAATTAGATGTCAAGGAATTTGGAAGATAAACCACAGCAGCAGGAAAAGAGTTGCCTTTCCTATAATCTAATGACTTGAAGGAAGACAGAAAACCTCTGTGCAGCAGTTGTTTGAAGCAGCTGTTATTAATGTAGTTATTTCGAAGTAAGACACACTAAGTAAAACCTCCTGCCAACCTAAAAAAAAAAAATCAGTACCTGCTTCCTCTAACTTTAGAAGTGACAGAAAGGCAGGAGGCCAAAAAAAAAACCAAGGAGGTTTCATTAATTGAAGTTTCCTCCCATGTAACATCAAGAAGTAGGAATAGGCAGGTGGAATGAGAACTCAAGAAGTTTTTCTGCTGTCTCTGGTCTCTAGAGAAGTGTTTCTCTTCTCTTTCTACCCCTCTCTGCAGAGATCAGGCTTATCTAGTCCTCCACCAGAGCAGCCTGCAGTTAAACTCCCTGCTGAGCTCACAGCAAAGCTCAGCAGATGTTGGGTCACTCAGCTGTTAAAGTGCTTTCCACGATCAAAAAACATTTCAACAAATATTTCAACTATTTAAAGCTTCTGTGTCATTAAACTCAGTTTTCCGATACAGTTGACAAGGAAAGATGTGCTGCTGCTTTTTTGTACACATTTCAAGACTGAGACTGCATTGATAACCATTTCTTGATTATAGAAGAGAAATGAGTTATTTCAATTGAAGAGAGAAGGAAGAATATATTAGTCAGCTAAAAAAAATAAAATTAAGAAAAAAAATACAAAAGGGCTGCTCCAGCAGTTTTCTCGTCAGCTTTAGACCTTAAACTACCACTTAGAGAACAAAAATCTTGCAGAACTGTACTAAAACTAACCTTAAACTTGTACTAAAACAACCCTTCAACCAAGAGAACCCGTGTTATATTGTTGTGAACAAATATTAGGACAAACGTGAAAGAAAAAAGACCCACCTACGTTTGTATCTTAGATCAATTAAGACATTAAAAATTAGTTTCAGCTAATGAGCTACAAATCAGAGCCTGTAATTAACCTTCAAAAGCCAGAGCGAAGCTGCCCCAGGTTACCTGATCCAGCCTAAACCCTCCCTCCCCTCACCTATTTGTGCCCCAGCCTCTGCTGTTGTTATTTATGAGGCTCATTAACACACCTTACAGAGTTCAGCTCGTCACATCCCTCCGCTTGTTAGGGAGGCTCAGGAGTGCAGGGGTGGGCAGGGAAATTGTATTTTTTCCTGAAACATCTCCACTTCTCTGGCTTAAGTTCTTCGGGTCAGCTGGTTTTCCCCGCGTAATCAACACATAGCAATATTTTACAGTTGAAAAATAGTGTTTTATGTAGAGCTGTGAGGCAGAGGAAGCTGGAGGAAGCCTTAATTTCTGCAGCTACGCACGAGCCTGACCTGACTCTGATTAAGAAGCTGCTGCCTAAATGGTAATACTTGACACCAGACTATGGGGTGGACTGTTGTTCATTTATTTTCTTAGAAGTGAAGGCTGATCTAAAGCCTGTTCCCTTCAAGCTGGCTCCCCGCAGAGCTTTAAGGAAGTTGCTAATCTTGTTAGGAGCAGCAGGATCACTCCTGCATTTGCATTTATTCGTGCAGAAGAGCTGGGAGCTGAGGCTGTGGGATTTCTCTGTGCTGACACCGCCGTATTGAGGCTGCATTAGAAAAATAAAACACTCTTAAGGAAGAAGGAGCCCCGTGGACCTGCTTAGAGGGGGGGATGTGCCAAATCCTCAGCCAGCAAGGGCTGGGGAAGGAGGTGCACGTGGAACTGGGTGTGTGCAGGGGATGGGATGAGATGAGATGTAAAAAGGTCTTTGATTTCTGCATTTTATATGAAACGCTGCACTTGAGAAAACGCATAATCTGAGAAGGTTTGAAGTGTCTCTCCCTTTATAAACCGAGTGCCTCAGTCATGGGCTGAGAGTCCCTTTCTCTCTGCTCCTGTGAATCTCTAATCCAGCTTTCCTGCAGCTCCAGAGGGAGGGAGGGAGGGAGGGTCTCCTGGCTGAGCCCAGCCTGGAGCTGCTCTGCTGCACAAGGAGCAGCATTGATTTGGGTTTGCTGGCACTGAAATGTTCTATCCCCAGCCCAGGGTATCAGCAGTGATTATCAGCTCCCCTCTTTGCTGTCTGTGCTCTGCAGGAAAGGCTCAGAGTTGCCGGGTGATGCTCTCCTGCCTGCCCAAACCAGGACCTGCCCACCTGGGAGGAGAGGTGGAGTTCACCTGCTTTTGGGGCTCTTTGGGCTCAGAAAGGAGACTGACACCACAATCACTGGCCTTGGATGAAAAAAAAAAGCCTAAAACACATCCTAATATTGCAACTCCATAAAGTAGTTTCTGCTCTGGCACATCCATAACAAAGTCTGGAATGCTGTGATTAATTATCCCTGCATTAACATGTAGCCCCTTTGATCTAAAAGCAGTTTTATGCCCACCAAGAATCTCACAGAATCAACACCACCATTGGGATCACTGTCTCTTGAGAGAAAACATCATTTTTGATGTTTGAGCATTAACATATTTGAGCATTCAGGGCTCCAAGATGTTAATTTGGGCTGAGTCCCATCAGTTGACCACGTGGAAAGGGCAGTGTGCTATTGATTGTCCCATAGCCACACAGAATTTTAAAAATTAAGTACCTGATTAATGTTTTTGAAGCCCATCTTGGAAAACACCTTGTTGGCACATAAGTGTTTATTTCTAGCCTCAATTTTTTACTCGATATTAATAAGTTTATTATTAGTTTGTGGGAACTAAATCCTGAAACTTTTCATAGTGCTCTGATATTTATAGTGTCATTTTTTATAGGTCTGGATATCAGAGGGATTCTCTCTGGCTATGAATCAGAATTTTTTTAACCTAAGGGTAAATCTTAATTTCTCTCTGTCTTTGGAACCAGCTCAAATTTTACTGTGAACAGTTTCCTTCAAAATTTTTGGGAAGCATCCCACAATCTGGAACCAAATTCTAAAGCACCACTGAGTAAGGACTCATCCAAAGTTACTCCAATGTGCTTTTCTCCACACACAGTGGTCAGTGAACATCTCTGGAAGGCCTCCCTTCTCCAGCATCTTCTCCCACTGTATAGCTTTACCTCACACATTTATTTTTTCTAAACCATCCCACAGAGAAAAGAGCAATAGAAAAACTGGGATAATTCATCTGTACAGAAAAACTTGCTTCGGGCATCTTCAACATCATATGAAAAGTGGTGACTCCAGAGGGAAAGTTACAGCCAAAAAAAGAAAAGAAAAATGAAATAGAGGAAAAAAAGCCCTCAGAATCTTTGGTGTTGCTAATGGGTACCTTGTGTAAGCCCTTTTATGCTGAAGCCCTTTCCTGGTGGTCTCTGAAATTCAATAATTCTGGGACTGTTACAGGTATGAAGTGTGACCCCAGCTGCTGCCCATCCCAGAAATCCCGTGGCTAAATGGAAATTAAAGAACAAACTAAAAAATAATAGTAACTATAGTTATTTTCCCATAAAACATTTGGCAGGAAGGATTTCCAAGTTCGTTTAAGCTCTTTCATTAGCAGGTTTTGATCTCTTTGTCACGTCCCCTCTTTGCCTCCTCCCCCTTCTGCTCAGCACCACCTGCCCCAGCTCTGATTTACTCATGGAAATGAGTGTGGCCCTAAAAGTGACACCATGGGACTCTTTGTCCTTTCTTTTGCTCATTTGATGGATCTGCTGCAATCTGAATTCTTCAGATTGACCCCAAATGGAAAAGTTTAAGTTATAGTAACTCCTTTTATGGTGCAGCATCGGATTTTCTGCTCTGTTACCTGTTGATGTAGTAATTTAACTTTTTAGGAAGAGACTCTGTGAAAGGGATTGCTGGTATTATGCCTTAAAAGAGGGTGAAAAAAGTTCCATCTCCAAAGTTTAGTTCCTCTCTCTTGAGATTTCCTCCAACTCCCACTGAAGTTAATTAAAATTAGGGTTTATACAGAGTTTGGTGGAGCTGAATTAGGCTCTAGGCAAACATGGCCTAGGGATGGGTGAGGATGAACCTGCAGTTAGGAGAGAGACAGTGTTTATATCCCTTAGGCTGGGGGGAAAAGGGATTTAAATATGAAAAGGAGGGGCCTGTGCTTATTCTCAGTTAATGGGAAAATTCATCAGTAGGCCCTAAAGCAATGGTGGAGCACAGACAGTCACAGAAACTTTGGAAAATGAAGTCAACTGGAACCCCCTGAGAACTGAAATCAGGACACAAAAGGTCTGGTTCTCCTTTGCTGATTAATTAATTCAGAGACTGACCTCCTGAAAAACGTCTGCACAGCACAAAGTTGGGTTTAATAGAGTTTTATTATAATCTGGCCTGCACAGAGAATTCAGCTGCATGACCAGCTCCTACAGCAGGAATCTGTAGGTCTGTGTGAGGAGGAAAACAGGGGCTCCAGCTGGCAGGAAAAGTTCTCAGGGTGAGATCTGAGGAAGTGGCAGATCCAAGGTGTTTGTTCCACAGAAATCCCAAGCTGACAGCACACTGTTTAATTAAACACACAATAAAGTATTTACCTTGCAAATCCTCAGCGTTTTCTGTAGAGTCCCCAACTTGCAGTTTAGAAACCTTCAAAGAACGAGTTGAAATCAGAGTTTTGCCCACACCAGTCACTTTGTCTGTTTGTCCAGACAAACTATAGTCAGCAAACTTTGTTCCTGAGACAGGCAAACAGTCTGTATATCTCTGGAAGACGTATCAGCTCATGGCTACATCACTTATTTCTAGCTGAAAACCCCTCTCCAGATTTTCTTCTGTAAAGAGATGCTTTAACCAGGCACCTGAAAGTACATGGGCATTAAATGTGAAAACAGGAGGGGTTTATCCTGTGTGTGAGCACATGTTCGTGTGCACACGTGCTGTGTTACACCGAATTAATTGTTTCATCCTCCGGGTTTACTGTAGACCACAAAAAAAGTTTAAGCTGCAATAAAACAGCGCCTGTTGCAGGATTTAGCCAAGTATAGAAAGAGTCATTGATTGCTCCCTGGAGGTGCATCATTTCTAATGAGACTCCTAAAATGTTGGAAGCTGATAACATAAAACTCCACGGAACTAGTGGAGTTTGCAGACTTATTACCATCCTGTTCCCAGGCTGGAACTGAGGGGGGGAGAGGAACGTAAATAATCTTTTCCGAATGGGGTTGTTGATGGGGGAAATGTGGAAAAATGAAGCTGTTGGCACAACACTGCTGGCTTATGAATTATGCATTTAATTAAGGGAAGCTAAACTGGTAGATTTTGAAACTTCTGATTTACTGTGGCTTCTACAAGGCAGGATTTCAGCCCTGCTCCTGCTGGTGGGTGTTGCAGAGACGTGGAGCAGCAGCACAGCAGGGCTGGCAGGACATCTTGGATGTACCCACCTTGCAGCAGCTGAGGGATGAGCTCTGAACCTGCTCCTCAGTGCCCAAGCCTTGGCCAAAATGTCTTGCCCAAAAGCAGGTTTCTTGGATGGCAAACCCACAGAGATATCTGCTTTTCTAGGGTGGGATAGTCAAATAAATCAGTTTAAGTAGCCTGGACTGTAAATATACATTATTGAGGTTTGCATTGTGAAACACTGCATGAAAAAAGGTGGCAGAAAAAGGCCAGGAAGTGAGAATAGGACAAGAACTGTGGAGTAGAATTAAGTATGGAAGATAAGGAGATAGGATCACACACAAAGTAATCACCAAAATACTTGTGTGCAGCTTGTGAAACTGTTCAAGAAGCAAATAGGGCGTGATAAAAAAGAGAGGGTTGTTGATGTTTTGGCTTCCCTGGCAGAAAATGATGTCATTAAACTGCAGCTGGTTGAAGCAGGTCTGGTGTTTTCCAGGCTTGTCCTACACGTGGATGTTCAACAACGACACCCTGGACCTTCGGGAGGACGGCGGCCGCCGCTTCGTCTCCCAAGAAACGGGGAATCTGTACCTGGCCAAGGTGGAGCCCTGGGATGTGGGGAATTACACCTGTGTGGTGACCAACAGGGAGGCACAGCAGAGTGCCAGGGGACCTCCCACCCCCCTCACCCTCCGCAGCGACGGTAAGAGCCTTGGGGGGGTTTGTCTGCCTAAAAACAGGCAGTGGAGCCATAAAACCTACATTCCATAAGTTGCTGGTCCCTTTAGCTTGTTAGTACCTTTGGACAAAACTCCTGAAGTGCAGGATCATTATTTTTTGTGAAGATTCAACGGGATGAGGCGAAGGGTTTTCTGGCTGTAAATACGTCTTGAGGAAGAGACGTAACATCTGATATTAGTCAAAGTTGCTCAGGGGCTTTAAAACCATCCCAGAAGGTGTGATACTGCACCAAAGGAGAGGAAGAGGAAGAGAAGGTGAAAATGGGCTCTTTTTGGGACCTCTGACTCAAATTTGGGAGGCGTGGCAAGGGCGGTGCTGTGGGAGGGATGGTTTTGGAAGTGGGTGTAACAGACGAGGGAATGTCCAAATATTGTAATTAGAAGCTGAATATTGTAGTTAGAATTTGAATATTGCACTTGGCATTTGAATATTGTAATTAGGATCTGAATATGGTAATTAAATCATGGTATAAAGTTGTAAAGCCTGTGCAACTCAGGGTGTGCAAAATGTTCCTGTGCACTCTCAGCACCATAATATAGGAGGGGGTTTTGCCTTTTAATACTCAAAAATAGTCCAGAGAATCATTTCTCCTGTTTCAAGGCATCAGCTGCACAAAACCAACTGGTCATGCTCTGGTTGTTGGGAATTCACACCCCTGAACATCCCCATGGAGGTAACAGGCTCCCAGGAAAGGTTGTGCATCAGGACACGATCCCACAGCGTGTCAGGACATGAACTGTCAGGACAGGGCTGATGAGATAAACACATGCAAAGAAAGCAGTGTTCAGTGTCACTGAAAAGCAGCCAGAGGATGTCACATGGTACATTAATATTTCTCATCTCAAGCCTGTGTCGAGGTTTAAATCCGACAAAGCTTTCTAAATTTATAATCTAACTATAGCTCAAATATCAAACCCAGAAAACTGCTTCCAAATGAATCACTGAGGTGAGGAACTCACCTGCACCTGTACAAACACCTCTCTGGCAACACTTTGTAATGAAATGTTCGCAGTGAGGAATGTAGACGTGGGAAATCTTTACATAAAGTTTGTTTTGTAAGTTTGCCCACCCAAATTTCAATATACTTGCTCTGTTTGCAAAGCAGCGGTGACAATCAGGAACAAAACTCTGTGTGGAGTTGGATTTCCAGGATAAATAAATCTCAACTGTGCATTATGGAATAATACTTTCACTGTGAGACTCTGCTGTTCTGTAACAATAAGATCACACAAAGCAAAGTCATAATTCCCCAGCTCAAAAGTTAATAATTTGGTACAGATTGTGATTGTAAATTCTGAAGATCTTTTCTTTTTTTTTCATTTTCATCACCCTATTCCTTTTCTCAGGCTCCTTCTATCAGTCTCTTTATCTTCTCCCATTCACTTTTGTGACTGACAGCAACAGTGGAAATGTGCAACATTACCCAGATCCCCGTTAAAAATAAAATATAAGAATAATAATAAGAGTATTAAATAAGAATAATAAATAAGAATATTAATTAAAATAATAAATAAGAATATAAAATAAGAACTGGTTCATCTTCAATGTGGGGTCTGGGCAAAGACACTGTGCAGGAAAAGAACTGATTTATATTCATCCCGGCTGTTGCAATGAGTTCCACTGCAAGATGCATAAAAGGCATTTAAGAAGTTCAGCTCAAAGTTTAGTTTCCCAAATCAACCCCAAATCTGCTGCAAAATTAAATGCCCTGAATTGATACAGGATTATCTGGGCTTTATCAGATGTTCAGCCAGATTTTCAAATGCGATAATTCCATCTAATTACATCAGCCTTTCTCAAGTCTGCAGCTCACATTTGGGTGTCTTAAAGAAGTTTGAAGCATTTTGAAAGTATTTTGGGCTGAAAATTCAATAACTCTCTTGCACCCAGAATCTATTTATTGTCTTGAGAAGTGACTAAGGTTAAAGGCACTGTTTGTTAACACCTCTTGGCAAGAGGTGTGAACCCTAAATTATCTCTGAAACCCTAATCACTAAATTCTTTTGCACAGATATATATATATATATATATATATATATACACTAAATTCTTTTTACTTGTATAAAGTCATGTTCCTCAACTTCTAGATGAAGTTGAACTCACAGATTTCCCAGAAGTTTCCAGCATGGGGTTGAATTCCACCCAGAAGGTTCAATCTGCTCCATCCTGTGCCGATTGCCACGGGTGGAACGTGAGGCTCTGACATGATTAATGCCACCCTTTCTTTTACACCGAAATTCTGTTGTGCTAGACAGGTCTGGGGCTCCACTGGAGTGAGAGCTGTTTTGATGTTCAACAGGTGTGATGGGGGAGTACGAGCCAAAGATTGAAGTTCGTTTTCCAGAAACAACGCACGCGGCGAAGGGCTCGTCCGTCAGGCTGGAATGCTTTGCCCTGGGAAAGTAAGAGTTTTCTTTTATTAAAATGAGGGTTCTGACACTCTCCCACAAGGAGAAATATTGGTTTTCTTGAATTTGCCCCTTGGAATTTTTTTGGTCAGAGTGTGACTCCGTGAAACTTATTTTTTTAACCTTGGTTTGATGGTTTCTGTGCAATGTGTTGGCAAGGAAATGAGAAAGAAAACTGCACTGTAACTGAAGCTCACTGGATTGCAGCCTGAAGCAGGGGGAGGAGGTGTGGGAAGGGAAGGGAAACCAGAACAAAGATTATATTCCTGGAGAGCAGTTTTAACTCTGAGAGGAGACCTGACTCCAGGTGACAGCATTCAGTGTAACTGCACATCTGATATAGAGAAAATAGGATTTCTTTCTGTCTGTGTGACATCATAGAATTATAAGAGTGGTTTGGATTGGAAGGGACCTTAAGGATGATCTTGTTCCACCCCCTGCCAATGGCAGGGACACCTTCCACTAGCCCAGGTTGCTCCAAGCCCCGTCCAACCTGGCCTTGGACACTTCCAGGGATCCAGGGGCAGCCACAGCTTCTCTGGGCAACCTGTGCCAGGGCCTCCCCACCCTCACAGGGAAGGATTCATTCCTAATATCCCATCTAAACTCACTCTCTGTCAATTTGAAGCCATGCCCCCTTGTCCTGTCCCTCCATCCCTTGTAAACAGTCTCTCTCCTTCCTTCTTCTTGGCTCCTTCATGTCCTGGAAGGCCACAATTGGCTCACCCTGAAGCTTCTCTTCTCCAGGCTGAACAATCCCAACTCTCCCAGCCTTTCCTCCCAGGAGAGCTGCTCCATCCCTCTGACCATCCAGGGACCTCCTCTGGAGTCTCTCATTGCTCACAATTAAATGTAGGGAAGCAGGTTGTGTTTCTAGAGCACGTGGACTCTGCAGGATGGATCCAACAGATCCTTCAGGCCCTCTTGTCTCCACAGTGGAGTTGAGGAGCCCTGGGAAGCCCTAACAACAGCCTTTCCTTCTACAAATCCACTTTTCTTGCAGTATTTTTCCAAGTTTACTCATCCTACTGTCCCCATTCCCTGTGTTCAAGGAGCAGGTGGTGAACTGAATCAGTGTAACCGGCCCACAAAAACCAGTCTTTCCAGTGAACATCCCTTTTCCCTGGAAAAGCCAAAACAACCCTCAGATTGTTGACCTCTATTTAGTTTAAGTTCACTTTGACAATCCCTTTTAAGGCTGTGAGCTTTTAAAGTGTTTAGAGCTTTCCCAGAGGTTAAAAGCCTGACTTGCAGACAGCACAAATTAATCAAACGTTCCTCTGGAACCTGCGCTGGGAAGGAGAAAAATAAAGCAAATAAAAAGTTAATAAGGTTGAAATGGCCTCACCTTTCAGATGAAATTTCTATATAAACTAATTTTACAGCTAATTTTTATTAAAGGTAGGTGCATTTTTTGGCCCAAAACAAGTACCAGACTGGAGCACTCCTGCTGAAGCTGATTTTCTTTTCCAAATACTGTCAAGCTACTTCTCTTTAAATACCTCCTTAATTGTGTGTTAGTCCGTGCAGGCTTTACATTTCAAGTTGTCATTTCATATTCCCATCTGTTGCATGGGAAGCAGGGAACAATGAGACATTGGCTGCAGAAAAGTGTTTAAAAAACAGAGTAAATGAGATGTACAAAACAGAGATACCTTATTGAAGGGGTAAAGATGGGTCATGTTAATATGATGCAGAGATTTTACTGTTTTAAGAACATCTTAAGGACAAAAAGGTGGACTGAAAGGACACATAGACAATGAGATCCCTCGGGGAGCACAGTATTTTCTGTGCAGTGCTTAGAAATGGAATGGCTGAGAGGGTTAATGCAGCCTTAAAGTATTTTTTATCCTTCTTATATATATTTTTCTTCTTCACTGCTGCAAGCAGTGCTGCCATACTTCCCTGGAGTTCTACTGCCTAAACACCAGTGATCCATGGGCCAAAATCCATCCTCTACAAACTCTTTTGTATCAAAGGCTGATGTGCACCGTGTGTTTGAGGGGCTGTTTGTGAGCAGAGACTCTTTAGTGGCATCACTGGAGAACTTCTCCTCTTGGATTTTATATTTTATAACTTGGCAGTCTCACGTAAAAATGCATTTTTTTTCTCTTTTGCTGCTTTTTTTTCCTCCCCGAACAGAGCCTTGAACCACATTTGCACCAACACATCGACGCGTGCAAAGGCTTTATTTTTAAATAAAGCTTTATTTTTAAATAAATCTTTATTTTTAAATAAAGCGTTTCTATGTGAATCAAACAAGAGAAACAGACTGCAGGTGAAATACTCTCAACTTATTAGACAAGGAGAGATTTCTCCAGGTCTGTGGGTGATTAGTGGCATTGTGAAAAGCTGGAAGTTTCCTGTCTCCAGCTGTTTGCAGTCGCAGTCGGATCCATCCGAACGCAGCAGCACCTTTGGATGCTGAAATTCCACTAAAACTGGCCCCTGCTATTGTCTGTTTATGTTAAAATCAATCCAGCCCAGCATTTGTTGAGCTCTACCTCTGATCTGCCACGAGCACCGAGGGTTATTATCTCACTCGGGTTTCAGAACTGCTTTCCCATTATCCATAATTTCCTATATTCCCACTGTTAGTCCGGTGGTTCACACAATGCTGTGGCTGCTGCTCCCCGTGTTCTGTGAATCACAGAAATCTTTCACGTCAAAGGCAGATTATAGACAACCCGCTGGGGTTTTGGGCTCCAAAAGTCTTAAATGCGAGTAGTTTTACGGTATTTAGAGAAATAGCATCTCTTTTCTATATGGAACAGCAAATCACACCTATTGGACTCTGCTCAAAAGGCACTTCCACCTTTAAAATGCAGGTACAAGAGGCCAGAGTTTAAAACTCGGTTTAAAATACCTTAAAGATGCCTTTTTTTTTTTCCCCCTGAGGGAACTCAAAAGTCTCCTGGCTGTGGGGCACCCTGGGGCAGGGACATTCCACAAAGGTCTTTTTGCACTTTACATTAAAATATCATTCCTGATTTTCACAAATCAGCCCCATAAAATCTTGTTTTGAGGAAAAGAAGTATAAAAGGGTTAAAGACTCAGTATTTATCCCCGGTTTGAGGGTTTGGAGGGATGGATCCCAAATGTGCTTGGGGCACTTCTTGCCTTTGAACCTGATTTTGTAGAACAGACACCACGAACACAGAAGAGAAGATTTTGCAAAGTAGATTAGTCCTCACTGGGATGGAAATATAATTGGGTAAAAAGTTCTCTAATTAGAGTGCAACTATCTGATGACCTAAACAAGTGAACAAATGCCTCTTGCACTTAATTCTTTAAAAGAGGGGAAACTGAAATATGAAATAGTGGCTTCACTATTTCGAATCCTGCAGCCTGTGGCAGTTTAATAGAAGAGATGAGACTTTGTGTTCTGCACCAATATTCATTATGTTGACAGTGTTTAATATTATGCCAGTATTAAAAGTCCTGCTTTGGATCAAGCTGCATTAATCATGCCATATATCCAAATTATTGTTCCCTGTGTCTTTCAGGGGATTGAGCACCATGAAAAGAATTATGTTCAGTTGAGTTCCTGTGCTTCTATCAGTAGATTTCTCCCAAAATAACTTTTTTTTTTTTTCTAGTTACACAAATAAGAATAGTTCCTGCAATGAAAATAAGCACAGTACTTTCCATGTCTGGTGCACATATTTATTAAACTCTGACTGTGGTTTATGTTTTCCTTCATTCCCCTCTCGAAGGTAGGGAAATAATCTGTTCAAAATCCCTGCAGATGGGCTGTTGCCAGCTAAGGTTGTAAAAAGCATATGTGAATAACATAAAACAAGATTTCTTTCCACCCAGAATATTCATTTTTCATGGGAAGGCCCCGCTCATTCCTCTAAATGTATTCATGGCAGGGTTTTTCTAGTGGTTGTTGTTACAAGGAGATAATCACAGAGCTACAGGGGGGTTCCAATAACCATCTTTACTAAATTTACATAAAAAGACCAGGCTTCACCTCTGGGGTATTCTCAAGTTGTTTATGTAGGAAGTTATAAAAGGATCTATTACAGGATTTTAAAATCACATCTATGTGAAGGACTTTTGCCACCACAAGTGAAGTTTGCTGCTTTCATCCCACATAAAACTAATGCCTGAAGGTTTGTGTTTTCAGGGCTCAGCAGATCCTCTCTCACGTAGTTGGGAGTGAGTAACTTGTGCCTCCAGGAGGATGAGCCATGACACCAGGTCTCCAAAAACTTTTCTGTTTCCCAGCTAAAACATGAAGATAATTCAAAATTGAGTGTTCTAACCACGGTGCTCCTTGGATCCCAACCCTCCCCTGGGCCAGCAGAGCTGCAGACGCCAGAGCAGCTTTCAAACCTCAGCTTTGTCTCATTTGTCTGACAAACCATGGGCCTCATTACTGAAACTGTAGATTTAATTTCGTTTTGAAGGGCCCCCAGATGCACAGGACAAAGGATGAGGCACAGTCTCAATGCATCATCTGGCTGCAAAAAGGTGGCACCTTCATCACTGTGGGCTCTTAATGCTGCAGACAAATTAATTCCGTGTTCGCTCTGACAACACTTGTCACCAACCACAAAATATTTTCCATCTCCTTTTCTCTCCGAGTTAGTAACTTATGGTTTCATGATTCTGCTGCCTGTATGGTGGAATATAAATTAAATTAGTCCTCCAAGATGCTCTAAAGGTTTCCAACAAACTGCAGATTTATGGACAAAGACACTCTCATATTTATGCACTGTTTTCTTATTTACTCAGGTGAAAGCCAGACTTTGGCTATGAAGTGTAATAAATTTGAGAAGTGCATCCATTGTTTCTTTATATATTCCAAAACTTTTTAGCCCCGAGCAGTTATTTGTTTTAATCTGGTTATTGGTAGTGACTGAAGAAAAAAAGACCCACCAGTGGCAGGAACACCCCAAATCTGTGTGGGAAGATATTGGTCTGTGTTGCAAAGATCTTCAAAGCAAATGATTGTGGAGCATAATCCTACAAAAACCACAAGGCTGTATTTATTGAACTAGTTTTTTGATATATATTTACCTACACCCAAGGGACAGTTTCACTTCTTAAAGCATCAACTTCTAAATAGATTAGTTGTTCTAAAACCTGATGTAGTCAATCTAAATTTTAAATGTATATTCAGAGGTTTGTTGGGTTTTTTGTTTTGGATTTTTTTTTTACCTTGAAAGGTTTCACATGATCTGTAGTAAGAGATGTGACAAAGAAATTTGGTTATAAAGATGTGAAGTAGCATCAGAAAAAGGTGAAACCAACCCCAAAAGCCTGATTTCTGCAAAATACACTGACTGAGGATGCTGGGAAGTGTGTGATAATGAGGTATCAAGGAAGAAAAGACCTGTAGAGAAGGTCCTTCCCACGGGTGGTGGCAATGGCTGAGCTGGGGATGCTCCCACTCTCTGCTCCTTTAACCTGGATGTCGGGCAGACGAGGAGCTGCTGCCCTGACCAACAACTCCCTTCTCCTGATAAACTTGGGGCACTCAGGGCCAGGCTGCTTGACAGGACAGCAAAGAGCTGATAACTATTTATTGCAACAGTGCCTTTAGACACAGCCAAGGTGATGAACCAAACTCTGAGGGTTTCCTGGCCTCCTGCTGCAGCCGAAATTCAGAGAGGGCGCCTTTCAAACACCAGCCAAAAACGAGCCAAGGAGCCCAGCTCGCCTTGAAACATCCCCAAGGATGTCATTAGAAGTCTGTGGCGTGGATAAGGAAAACAGGACAGTGCCTTCAGCTCAGACCTTGCTAAACCTGACTTGACAAGTTGACAGGAGGGGCCTTTTCCCACCAAGCGCTGCCTCTGGCCTTGGTGTCAGCACAGACTCCCCTCGTTTATGAATAGTCAGAGCTGAGACAAAACAAAGGGCTGAGAGAACAGGAAATAGTGAGATTAAGCACTTTCAGGTAGCAGAGAGAGTATCAATGCATCTAATTATTGTTTTCTTCTCCCGTGTGGCTGTTAGCTTCCTTTATACAAAAAAAAATTAAATAAATAAATTAAAATCCAGAAGAGATGCCTTTAGAGGAAGTAGTTAAATGCTTCTGGCATTCTGAAGTTCTCCAGGAGCTGTTCACCCACTGTTTAATATGCAGTAGGGTTTGAAAAGCCAGCCATGCTCCTCTTCATGTCATCAACAGTCTGTATCAATCCAACACAAGGCTGCAAAAGCTCCTCTGGCTGTTTTTCCTGCCTGGAGCATGACAATCATGAGATAGACCCAGTCTGGAGCTGTGCTCCTTTTAAATAACTAAAGGTATCTTGCTTTATAAATAACTAACTCGCTTTACAAAAAATTCTGCATGAATAATGTCGTGCAAGATTAGTCTGGACAAGTTTGCATCTGAAATAGCTTTTGGTCTCACAGCAAAGGGCAATTAATAAAGGTGGTAATGACAACAGCTCTTGGCCAGAAAGAATTGAAATTTAAACATGTCTTCAGGTCTTGAACCAAGATGGGGAAGAGAAGAATAAAATCTCAGTTATTCTTCCCAGCTCATTCACTGGTTAATGATGTCTGACATGTCCCACTCTCACTTGTAGTAAATTGTTGAGATGGGTCATATAAGAGTCAGAACATGTGTGTGCATGTACATGAGAGTTATCCATACATGTAGTGATCCATATAGATATATATTTTTGATTTGATATCTGTAGTTACTCTGTTAACACCTGCCCAGCTGTTCAATCCCTGGCATTTGCTGAGCACTCATATTTCCCCCAAATTCTGGTTCTTCTTTGGGTTAAATCACAGCCACACTAACTCCAAAGGCAGAAATCAGGCCCAAACTTACTGAAATATTAAATAATTAATCCATTCTATATTTGTGACTTGATTTCTTTGTCCAACAAACAAGGATTTGAATTTAAATAATTTAAGGTGTGAGCTGTTACAGTCTCTGCTAAAAAGGAACAAATCCTTTGTAAGTCAGCACTTCAGGCAGAGACCTTGGAGACTGGTCACAAGGACTTTTAATCTCCATGAAAGTTGTGTTTTCAATCACTGTTCATGTTATTCCAAAGGAAAAGAAGTCAGCATTTAGCCAAAGCCTCTGGAAAAAGCTGTTCAAAATCTAAGTTGTTAGAAAAAGCAACTTACTTCAGTTTACAGAAACAGAAACTGTGAAATCCAAGACTATTAATATTTTAAAGTGTTTTGGTGACATAATAGATCATGAAAGTGAGGCTTGGATGGTTTGGGATACTACCAGAAATCCAGGAAATATTTATAACTGCCTTCAAACTTCACCGTGGTTTGTTGTTTTACAGGATGCATTAATCCAAATATAAATGAAAATGATAGAAAGCTACAAAAAAAAAAACAAGAAAAAAGAAATATTCCCTTTTGTCTCTATCTCCTCTCAACCTCAGTGTCTTGTGCTTTCCTCTTCTCACTCAGATTTATTGTTATTTTTAGATCCTTTGAATTCTTGGCCAATACTTCCTATTTTGGGGTGTGAAAATACCTCTAATGCTGCAGAGAATTAGTTTGCTGTGAGAACCAGTCAATAATTCAGTGCCTCTGTGCTGTTTCTTTGGCTTGTAAAGTTGTTCCTTCGGTGTCACGGAGTTTAAAAGAAGGTTTGAGCCCTGACTAAGTTCCTAAGGGGAAAATACAAATTGGCCTGAGAAGAAATCATAGAATTGACTGTGCATTTCATCTCACTGTTGGACTTATGCTCCTAAATAAGTTGGACAGGTTAGAACATTTCTGACTTATGAATTATGCTTAGAAACAGAAATAATGTCTTTTTAAAAATATTATTACTCTCAAAGAAGGATTTCACATTCTTTTTTTCTCTGCTGTAACCACTGTTCTCTGTTTTTCCCTAATGAAATACGATTATTCAGCCCTGTCCCAAGTATCAGCTGGAGGAGGTCCGATGGAAATTCCTTGACAAAGAAAATTCAACCCGACAAAACCAAAGGAGTTCTTGAAATCCCCGACGTTCAGCAGGAAGATGAAGGTTCTTATGAGTGTGTTGCAGGAAACAGCCGAGGAATAAACATTGCAAGAGGTCAATTATTTGTCTATGGTAAGCAGATTAATTTTATTTTTGTTCTTTTTAAAGAGCAGGGTGGGGTTCAGTTGGGTTTTGCACTGGAGGTGTAAAATGCAGGGCAGGTTAAGCTGATTAAAAACTGTTTGGAGTGGCCTTCACTGAACTACAGCCTCAGCAAATAAAGGTATTTTGCATTAAACCTCAGATTGGAAGTGTGGGCTGTGCCACCATGAAGTTGGAAAGGTCAATAAAAGGCAGGAAGGAATCCCTGGTATATTCACATTAAAGGCAGAGATTCCCTCTCAGCAGCAGAATTTGTGCTGTCCCAGATGCAGATCAGGGGAGGATTCAGGAGTTTTATCCCTGGCAGTGGAAGGTCATTTCACCTCCTATTGGAGCTCAGCTCCATAAACAGATGAGGGTAAAGCAGGAGAAACTCATTCCATTCCTCCCTCCCCTTCCTGCTGGCTGAAAATAGAGAATAATAGATCTGGGAAACAGTTCTCCCTTCAAAAGTAGAGAATAATATTCCTGGGAGTCTGTTCTCCCTCCCCTTTTCACTTCCCACGTGCATTAATTTCCTGTGATCACAGTCACACGTGCTGGTCCCTCAGAGCCAAGGTGAATTATATGTTCTTTAGTCCCATTGTTAATACCCAGGGAAAGCAACATATTTTGACAGCAATAAGAGGAGAGATTTTTTTTTTTTTGCCTTTACCTCATAAATCTTTCAAAGGAAAAGGAAAAAAAAAATTAAACATAAGAAGAGTAAGAAAAATCACAAAAAGAGAGACTGAGCCTACAATTAACATCTGTTGAGAAGACTTTGGCAAGTATTTTTCTTTTTATTATTTTTTTTATAAAGTAAATCTCTTTTAATGAAGAGATGCAGCTTTGCTGATAAGCCACCAGCCTCCTGCAGCCATGGCTAATATCAAGATATATGCCAGGAATAGAACAGTCTGCTGCTTGTGTGAATATTTAATTATTTCTTGGCTTTTAAGGGGTTATTTTTGCTCTCATTGCACACTAATTTTTTCCCAACACCCATCAAGCAGTTCCATTAAAATGAAGTTCAGTGGATTACCTGGACGTGATTGAGAACAGCACAGGCAATTACAAAATTATGATCAGTTAATTCAATCTAAAACAATGTGCTTATTAAATGTGCTTTCTACATTAATTAATAGCTGCTCATTACGAAATATATAAACAGGGCTCATGAAGCTTTTACACGAGATTTTTTTTGTCCTTTTAGGAGTGGGCTGGTGTGTTATCTACATAATTGATTTGATTTCTCTGCTGGGGTGTTTTTCCTCCATAGGCAGCTTGTCTCCAAGAAATAGGGTTCCTTTCCTGGACACTTTCTACTGCTTCATATGTGATGCCTCCAGTCTGTGCTTTGGGCTCTGAGAGCAATAAAACAACATGTAATTAAAATTATTGTTAGGCACGATGAGCCCTCCCTTTATAGTACCTTATAAAACCTTCCAGTACCTAAAGGGGCAAAAAGAGAACTGGAGAGGGACTTGGGACAAGGGGTGGAGAGACAGGACAAGGAAAAATGGCTTCAAACTGCCAGAGGGCAGGGTTAGATGGGATATTGGGAAGGAATTCTTCCCTGTGAGGGTGGTGAGGCCCTGGCACAGGATCCCAGAGAACCTGTGGCTGCCCCATCCCTGGAAGTGTCCAAGGCCAGGTTGGAGCAACCTGGTCTGTTGGAAGGTGTCCCTGCCCATGGCAGGGGGTGGAATGAGATGATCTTTAAGGTCCTTCCAACCCAATCCATTCTGGGATCCTCTCCCAGATCCTTTCCCACCCTGGGAAGCAGCTCACTGGCAGTGCATTAACCTGGGGTTGGACATCTCAAGGTATTTTGTGGGGTAGAGCCATGAGCTCCCCCCAGAGCCAAGCTCCAGAGGGAGGCTGGTTCTGCTGCTCACAAGGGATAATAATTCTCCTCCTAAAAATTAAACTATTCTATGTAAGAACGACAAGTATACCTGTATATATTTATATATTTATTTATATAGAGCCTGCAGTATTATGGTTTCATAACCCAACCAAAAACTTTCCATGGCACATTAAGACACCAGCCACTTGTGCCAGAGGCAGAGGGATGCATCTCCTTCCCTGTGGCTTTGATCTACCCCACATTTAGGTGGATATTAATTGCTCTCCATGGCTCTCATATTCCCCTTTATCTTGACAACTCTTCTAAATGTCAGCCTGCCTGGAGATAATCCCTGCTCAGCTCAGCCCTGGGCTCTCAGGTGTTTACAGAGCTGGGATGTGATTCCTTTCACACTGCAGTGGATTGATGTCAGTGTTCCACGAGTGTCCAGGAGGGGTTTTTCTACTCTGAGTAGCCCTAATTCCTCTGTGTAGTATCTGTGGTGTAAATTACAACCTGAGAACTCCAGCTCTGAGCCCACTGTCTCAGGTATGTGGGCAAAACAGGGAGGTAATTTTTACAATCTATGATTTTATTACCTACTGACCAAAGATTTTGATATATTCCTGGTGCAAATATTCAAGTACATTTAGAGGAAGTTTGTTTTTCAGAAATTAGGGGTCTCAGTGCTTTCAACAAGAATATCTTGAATTTCAGGCATCTAAAAGCATGTTTCTGTAAATTTTGGCCATAAAAATAGATAATATCTTAACCAAACTCCCTTCTCCCTGGTCACTTGACCTCTAACAGTTTCTCAAGCTTGTCCTGAAATTTAATGCCAGGGAATTGTTGTGCAGAATTCACTTGTAGCATAATAAGAATGTGTTGGACAGGTATTAATTAGCCTTGCTCAGTTCATTAATTAATGGCAACATACCTCAAGCAAAATCACTTTTCTCCTGCTTAAAATGATTTGCATATTCTTTTCAGCGCCCCCTGAATGGGATAAAAAAATCCAAAATGCCTTTCTGTCTCTCTATGACAGTTTATATTGGGAATGTAAGGTAAAAGGAAAACCAAACCCTTCCTACAGTTGGTTAAAAAATGGCCAGCCCCTGGTGTCAGAGGTAAGGTTCCTCTTGTCTTCTTGGTTTTTTTCCTCATATTTTTGCCATTTTTTCATGATTTAGTCATAAAATTCATTTCACAGTACATTAATTTAGTTTCAAAAAGTAGGTGAGGATTAATATATCAAAATAATAGTAATAGCACAAACTCTTTGTAACATAAAGCCTTGATTCTCGAAGTTCATCTTTGTTGCAAATGTATGATGTAGCTTAGATAGAAACAACAGTTTCTTAGTGTAATTTATCTTACAGAGCATCTAATTGCTCCAAGATATGGCAGTAGGTTAAAAATATCAATTATAATTGCTGAAAGAAGGGCTGAAGAAACACTAAATACATTTGTAGACTTAATCTGCAAATTGGGGAACTGGGAGGATGCCAACGGACTGGAAGAGCTTTTCAGAGCTGGAATTGCAAAATGATCAGCATTAAATTGCACTTTTCTTCTGTTTCTGTTCTGAGTCTGTAGCTGGGTGGACCTTTGGTCCCCTGCAGTATGGCTGCTCCCATGCTGTGCTAATCCCCGGACTTAATTAATCAGTCAGCTCTGAAAATCAGTGAATATTGAGGGTAGTATTTTCTGGTGCTGTGTAGAGGGACAATAGACTAAAGAAAACCAGATAAAGTCGTAATGAAAAGATGAATAAGTGCAAAATCTCGCTTCAAAGCAAACCAAGGACTGAGTGGAAAGGGAATTAGTGAAGTGGTGGGAGTGTGGAAGGAGAGGGGAAGTCAATTTGAGCTCAAAAGCTTCAGAAACAAGATCAGATCCTTAATTAACCAGGTCTTTAAGAGCCCAGCTTCCAGGCACAATAATTCTATTTCTGTGGTGGCCAAGCTTTGGCACATCCATCCTCCAGCCCTCAGCTGGCAACCTCCTGGAGACTGACTTCTGTGACAATTTGCACTTTGTGAGGCCAAGTTTTCCCTTCTTTATTAAACATCCATCCAGCATCTCTTGGGCACAGAATGGCAAGACTCACCTGTGATGCATTTTTACTTGGTTGGAAAAAAAATGTTGTGATTAATTTCTGTTTAGCAAGAACAGACACAGAATAATTTCCAAAACATATGGGACAAATTAGCACCTGCTGGGTGGCAGAATCAGCACTCACTGGATTTAGTAATAATTATTTGAAGAAGCTGGAGTGGGGTCCAACCTTCCATGGATTAGTCCTAAATGGACCCAACCTTCATCTGAGGAAAACAGCCAGGATTTCCTTGGATTGCAGTTTTCCTGAGTCTGATCACTCTGCTCATTGTCACCCCTGCCTAGGCAAGATTCTCCAGATTTTCCTCTCTTTAAAGGGAGCAATATTTAGAATCTGTCACTCTTCAATTGCATCGCTTCAATAAAGGAGAATAAAATGCTCTATGGACACATTTTCAAGCAGCATTTTCCCAGTACTTACAGTGTGCTCTAAATGCAATACTTCAGGCAACAAAATGCTGGGTGTTATTGCTCAGTGGACAAAAATGGACAGTTTGGAGGTGAAAGGACAAGAGGGAGGTGTAATAAAATATTCAGTTTGTCACAGCACCTGCTTGTCGGAATCCTCACAGGAAGAATAACTCCAGATGCTTTCCACCTTGGGGCTGGTTCTGAGCCTATTTTTCCCTTTGTCAAACCTTTCTGCCCCACCACCTCCCTGGTCATCCCAGCATTATTCCTGCTTGTGTACACGGGGTGCTTTATTCTTCTCTTTGAATGCACAGCTCAAAAGAGCCTGCAGAGAACAGTGGGGAATTTGGGATCTGTGTGGAACACTAGTGTTGCTTCAGAGGGGGGTTTATATTCAAAGGATGTTCGTAAAAATAGAATGCATGGAGAGGATAACAAACAGCCTGGAGGTAAAACTAAGTGTGCAGAAGATATCTGGAGTGAGAGGCTCAAAAAAAACCCATTATCAGTGGCTAAGTAATGTAATGTTGTTAATTAGTTTGCCACACAGCAGCCACGCAGCCCCAGGCTGTGCTCTCATCCCATTTCCAAGCTAAACAAGGTTGGGCTGGGTCACCTCGTGGTTGGGAGACCTCCAAGAAAAAGCTGGAGTGTTGGAAAATAGAGCTCCAGGGCTCAATGTGTGGCGTTTCCCCCTCTGCAGGAGGCAGAGGAATTCCCCCAGTGGGTTGTGGAACTGCTGTGCCTGGGGCAGCTCAGCAAGTTGGGGGGTGAACAGATAAGAGCAGCTCTGGGAGAAGGACTTGGGGGTGTTGGTGGGTGAGGGGTTGGACATGACCCAGCCCAGAACTCTCACCCCATGTCCTGGGCTGATCCCCCAGCATGGGCAGCAGGGCAGGGGGGATTCTGCCCCTCTGCCCCCTCAGCTGAGACCCCCCTGCAGAGCTGCTCCAGCCCTGGGGAACAGCACAGCAAGGACATGGAGCTGCTGGAGAGAGTCCAGAGGAGGCACCAGGATGGTCAGAGGGATGGAGCAGCTCTACTGGGAGGAAAGGCTGGGAGAGTTGGGATTGTTCAGCCTGGAGAGGAGAAGCTTTGGGGTGACCTGACTGTGACCTTCCAGGACCTGAAGGAGCTCCAAGAAAGATGGACAGAGACTATTTCCAAGGGATGGAGTGACAGGACAAGGGGGAATGGCTTCAAAGTGGCAGAGAGCAGGGTTAGATGGGATACTGGGAAGAAATTCTACCCTGTGAGGGTGAGGAGGCCCTGGCACAGGTTGCCCAGAGAAGCTGTGGCTGCCCCTGGATCCCTGGAAGTGTCCAAGGCCAGGTTGGAGCAACCTGGGCTGATGGAAGGTGTCCCTGCCCATGGCAGGGAGTGGGACTGGACAATCTTTAAGGTCCCTTCCAACCCAAACCATTTTGGGATTCTATGGCATAAATTTAGCAGTTCACAAATACATTTGAGATGCTTGGAACTGCTCATCAGAGACTGTGTACTCTAAAAATGTACTCAGTACTCCTCCATTCCTGCTTCCAAGGCGGGAGAGCCAGACTAAAGGAGCAGCATAATCATACCAGTAATATCTGTTGTTCAGGCTTGCAGTTGGTGATGGAATTTATACTCCCTGTGGGTTTCTTCCAAAGTCATCTGTTTTGGGGAATGTTGTTTTTTTTCTCTTTCTCAATGCTACACTTTGCAGCGGAACTATTATTGTCCCCAGAGGGTAGTAATTGTAAAATCACAAAATATTTAGCTTTAAGTTATGATTGCAGCATGAAACAGGCTTTCTTCTGTTTTCCAAAGTAGAGCAAATAAAACTTCTTTTAATACAGCAAACTCCAAGCTCTGCTCCAAATTTACCTACTGTGCAGTTCCCTCTATTTCAGCAGAATTGCACCGAGGAAAGTTGGTGTGCTTAGAAATTCAAGCTTTGAGGAGAAAGCTCTCCCTGTGCCCTGAGGGGCTTCCCGTGGGTTTCTAATTGGAATTTAAGTGTTGGCTTCCAGTAGAGCTTTTCCAGTGGCTCATTTTTCCGTGACTCCTTGGTCTGGAGACATTTGAAGTGTCCCCATTACTGGAGCACCTCTGTCTCCTGCGGAGCTTTTTTGATCGTCTCTGATCATCATTATCAGATTCATCTGGTAGGTGAGGGGGGGGTGATGCTTCACCCCCAGACAGGGATGGAGTGTTGAGAGCCCTGTAGAAGATGCTCCCAGTGAGGAACAGCTGTGCCTGCCCTGAGGTAGCTCCTTCTGTGTCATCTTCATGGTGAAGCACAACCCCAGATTCACAGCTCAGCAGCACAGGGAAACACGTGGGCAGCTGGAACATCTGGGCAAACCTGCCCAAAGCAATTACTGCCATGTGTGCCTGGATTTCTTGAAGAGCTTGAAGAGCTGAGAGGGCTCAAAACACACCCACCACCACTCAGCAAGGTGTAAATCATATTTCTGGCGTATTCATCCACGTTCCTTCCAAGAAAACAACATTCCTGCTTCTGAATTGCCATCAGGTGCATTACTGTGATAATAAAAAAAGCTTTGGTTTGTACACTCAGTGTTTTGCCTTGTTTTTCTTTTGTCAGGAGAGAATCCAAATAGAAAATGGGACTCTTATCATCCCTGTGCTGAATATGTCAGACTCTGGCCTCTATCAGTGCGTGGCAGAAAACAAGCACGATACGATTTATGCCAGCGCTGAGCTGAGGGTGATGGGTGAGTAAATGTCACTAAAATGAGTCTAAAGGACACTCTGAAAAAAAATCTGAGTTTAAGAATAGGTGAAACTCCAGCTGGCAGCTCAAGCCTGTTGGTATTTCTTTGCTGTTTGCTCTTCACCCACGTGCAAACGTGGGGTTTTTTTAGTTTAATTTCACAACTTGTTTGGGGGAAGAATCTAATCCATGTGTGGTCTGTTTAATTAATGCTGCTTCTGGCTTATTTTGAGTTATTAATAGTTATTCTGCAGGTTTAAAAGTCATTTTAGGAAGTGGAATAAGTAGTTTTAGCTATAAACAAAGAGCATATGGCAAATATGTACATAAAGAAATAACATGTAACAAGGAATCTCATTAATGTTTGCCAGAGATGCACATGAAATGGAATTTGTTCTTATAAAAGTATTCTGATCTAGATATCCAAATATAAAGTTTGCTCAACAGCCAAATATTGTGAAACCACTAAAATACAGACTTTAAGAGCACCCAACTGTTGCACAGGTCTGGTGTTTTCTCCTTCTCCAAGAGTGAATTTTCACAGAAACTACTGGGAAAATAAACATATTTTCAGGAAACAGTGGATGTTTGTGAAAAGAAAGCCACAGTAAAGCTGTGTTTGTAATGGAATATTCTCTGCAGATGAATAAAGGTGTCTGGATCAGGAGTGTGATGTTTATCCTGCTCAGGAACCTCCTTCTTCATCACAGACCTGTTCTCCCAGTCTCCAGATAACCCTCAGGAAAGATTGTCACCCAGTTTCTAGTTTAGAAACACCATTAATAAAGTCACTAAATAAGATACAATTAATTTAATTCTTTAGTACTTAATACATTTTTCATGGTAGCTTTATATGTATTTTGCAGGAACCTCAAAAGCAAAGCAATTATTGACTTCACCTGCCATGTAACTCAAAGAGAAGAATCCAGCAAGTTCATTTAATAGCCTGTCAGCTGAATATTGTTCTGCCCTTCTTTCTTCTTCTTTCTCCATTTTCAGCTGCAGCCCCCAATTTTTCCAAAAATCCCGTGAAAAAAATGTCTGTCGTTCAAGTTGGAGGTGAAGTTACAATCGGTTGTAAACCCAGCGCTTCTCCCAGAGCTGTGATCACCTGGAGAAAGGGCTCAGAGGTTCTGCATCAGAACAAAAGGTACCGTCACAAACCAGCACCGGGGCTCTTGGGTGTTCCCTGCTTTAATAGAATCTTAGAATCACAGAATCAGCTGGGTTGGAAGGGACCTCTGAGATCATCAAGTCCAACCCTTGATCCAACCCCGCTGTGGTTCCCAGCCCATGGCACTGATGCCACATCCAGTCTTATCTTAAAAACCTCCAGGGATGGAGAATCCACCACTTCCCTGGGCAGCCCATTCCAATGTCTAATCACCCTCTCTGGAAAGAAATTCTTCCTAATATCCAACCTAAACCTCCTCTGGCACAGCTGAAGACCCTGAGCCCTCTTGTCTTGCTGAGAGTTGCCTGGGAAAAGAGACCAACCCCCCCTGGCTCCCCCCTCCTGTCAGGGAGTTGCAGAGAGTGAGAAGGTCTCCCCTGAGCCTCCTCTTCTCCAGGCTGAACAGCCCCAGCTCCCTCAGCCTCTCCTCACAGCACTTGTGTTTGAGTCCCTTTACCAACCTCGTTGCTCTTCCCTGCCCCTGCTCCAGCCCCTCCAGGGCCTTCCTGAGCTGAGGGCCCAGAACTGGACACAGCACTCCAGGGGTGGCCTCACCAGCGCTGAGTCCAAGACAAAAATCACTTCCTTGGACCTGTTGGCCATAATTCACTAGAAGACTGTCCAAAGCTGTGACACAAAGGAATCTTACTTACGATATACTGCAGTAATGTACAATGCAGACAGAAGTAAACCAGAGGAGTAGCTATGAAAGTGCAAATCTGAGAAGAATTTTACATTGGTACTGGCAATGAAACAGAAAAATTTGGGTGATCAATCCATGCCAAGGGCATAGAAAATTTCCCAGTGCTTTTTCCCCTTTCAGAAGTGGCAACTTTATTTTCATTTTAACTACTCATGATGAAAAGTATTATTGTAACTAGTGTTTAGTCAAATCTTTATTTGTATTTTGACTGTATGGTCTATTCAACAGGCTGAACTAAGCCTAGATCTTCAGGTTCCAGTACTCTGATATTCCCCATCTGATTTACTTATAAAAAAATATTTACACATTACTCACAGTATTTACTTGTGCTTCTGTATTAATTTCCTAACAATAATTCTAAGCACACTGTAATTTCTGAACATCCCAGAAGGCTCCTGTGGCTCTGCAGGAGTAAACAACAGGAGCAGGATTTACAAAGGGAGACAGTGTTTAAGCTCTCTGTGTGCAAAACATTATTACCAGGGTGTCCACTGGTGCAAAGTGGAATTTATGAGGCTTTTTTGATTATGAAATGACAAAATAGCTAATGCTGTGGTTGAAAAGGAGGGGAAATAAATCATCTCTCCACTGTTATTCCAGAGATCTGTGACAGAAACCACAATGAAATAAGGGTTGGTGTGGCTGTAAATACGTGGCTAATTAAAGTGCTCCATTTACATTGGTCTTTGGTCATAAAAAAGAGAAGGAACCTGCCCTGCCTTTCTCCATATATGTGATTAAACCCTGCCATGTCACATACAGATTAACTATTTTAACTAAAGCTCAGCTTATTTCTGCTCCTATTTTATTGTCCAGCAATTATCACCTTTATGGACTGCTTTAGTAGCCTTTTTTAAAATATTTGGTTGGGTTATAGGTGCCAGAAAAGGAATACCAATCCCTCCCAGCTCTGGCAGCCAAACTGGGATGGACACACTGCTAAATGAGTCAGATCACGGAACTTCTTTGGAATCATTTAGATAAATTCAATCTTTTGTTACAGAAATACTGCAACTCAACCTATTCCACCCAAAGGGGGAAGACCATTCTTTCTTTTTTGCCTTCTTCCTTTCATTTATGACAATATTTTATTCCTGATAGTCCTGAATATGTGGTGACTGCTCTCCCTGATCAGCTGAGCTCTTGACATGACAAGAGAACCCTGCTTTATAATAACTTTAGTTGGTAAGTGTGTAAAGAGAAGAGTACTAAATAGGAAACTCTAAAATAGATTACCCACATTAACGAAGGAACCATTAAATGTTGTTTTTATTGGATTTCCTCAGAGGTGTTTTTTTTTTTTTAATGAATCATTTTTAAGCTTTTGAAGCTGGTGTATTTGGGCCCCTGCTATTTGAAAAAAAAACCTTAAAATTTCTTGAAGTGTAATTTTCTGCATCTCTTGCCAGATCCAGCAGAGAAGGTCCTCAGCCCTCAATCCCCTTTTTGGGGCACTGGGAGTTTCCTCCAGCCCCATTTGTCTGTCCCATCTTCTCTGCAGCTCAAACACATCATTGCCCACATTTTCAACAGCTTGTTTGCTCTGGTTACTGTAAAATACTTTATTGCATTTGAGCGTGCAAGTCCTTCAGAAAATGCCAAAATAAATAATTTTTTATATTAGATAGTGAAACAAAGCCTGAATATGCCAGTAGCAGATCTGCTTATTATTCCCAACCCTCTCCATTGAGTATTCTCCTTCAAAATTTACAGAAATAGCTTCATTTCACCCTTACTGATATGGTTTAATCTCTGAGTATGGGATTTATCTCTGGTCCATCCTGCTGGCCACCTTAGAGAGGGAATTCAAGGTTATCAGCTGCAGGAATCAGAAAGAAATGCCCCAGTTGGCTAATCCTGGCTGGTTTTACCTGCTCCCTCTCCACGTGATCCCCAATCAGCTCATCTGGATCATCTGCCAGGACAGTTTCGGGTGCTCTTTTGGGCAAATTAACCTCCTCCTTTGTGTCAAAGTCTTGAGAAATGGGGTTTTGTGAGCGAATGGACAACTATTTGTTTGCCCTTTGCAGACTAAATGACTTTTCCTGGCCCGTGCTGTGGGTTTTAGCTCGATGCAGAAATGAAACGCAACAAAGAACGAGCTTTGTGCTCCCAGCTCCCTCCCCGTGGACTCTGACACACACATCAGCTATTTTCATGTGTGTCATATTCTCACTGTGTGCAAAGGGAGTTTTTTTCATCTCTCTTCTCACTTCTATCATCTGGTGTCCACTGAGGGAAGGAAAGACTAGAAGGGAACGATTCATATATACTAAATAAAACAAATTTTCAAGTCTAGACACTGTTCTCATCACGAACGCCTGTCTTAGGGCCCTCAGTGAATTCAGGAGCAGGACCCTCATGGAAAAGTTATCTCACAAAAACCTCCTTTTGATTGAAGCATTTCAATAAATGGGAATTTATTTCGGTTTTGCTTTGCCAGGGAGAGGTGCTATTCCCTCAGCACGGGCTGGGGCTCCCCCAGCTCTGCAGTGAATGCACATAAACATATGTGATTCACCTCACTCGGAATTCAAATGAGGGAGAGCTGAGGGAAAGCTGAGAAATGAGGTGGGCTGGAGGAATGCATTAGTCATATACAGCACTTTCCATGCATTAATAATCAGTAATAAGCAAATATTCATAATTTAAATTGTTTTTTGGGGGGGATCGGGCAAGAGGGACTCTGAGGGAATCAATGAGATCTGCTCAATTCTTGTTGGCTCCAAGATTTGCTTGTAGGACACGGTTCAGTCCCATCTCTGTGAGGGATGGTTGTGGATTCTCTGCCATAAATAAAGCTGCTCAAGGTGGTGAATTCTCTTTGCTGTGGCACACTTGGGTTTGGTGCTTTACACTCAAGTTGCTGCCATTACTCAAAGGAACTGGGGCAGAATGATTGAGCACCACCATGAAAAGCTGTCTGTCAACAACCCTCTGCAAAATATTGAATTCTGCAACCAATCTTCTGCAGAGAGAGCAGATGGTGGGACTGGCTGGGGGAATTATCTGGTGATTTCTGAGTTCTTTGAGCTGCCCCTTGGAGCCTCAGACTCAGGGAGGGGTTCTCCTGCTCCCAGGGGAAACACAAGGACCCAGGTTTTATTACTTGAAGGGCTGGGTCTGTTCACAGCCCTGTGATCTACCTGGGCAGGACCTTTCTCCTGCCACCTTCTGAGCTCTCTTGGCCACCATCTGCTCCTGCCTTCCTTCTGCTGCTCCACTGTCCACAGCCAGATTCCAAAACCAGGGGAGTTCTGACACGTTTAAAGCTTTGTTGTTATTTTGGGGAAAAATTGTCTTGTTTCTGTGGATGGAATTAGACAAATAGGGAGTTAAAAAATAAAGATAATTTAAACTGGAGGAGACTCAGATTTCATCAGGGTCTGCAGCTTCCTCAGGAGGGGCAGCTCTGATCTCTGCTCTGTGTGAGCAGGGACAGGACCTGAAGTTGTGCCAGGGCAGGGTCAGGTTGAATCTCAGGGAAAGGTTCTTCCCCCAGAGGCTGGTTGGGCACTGCCCAGGCTCCCCAGGGCAGTAGGCACAGCCCCAAGGCTGCCAGAGCTCCAGGAGGGTTTGGACAACACTCTGAGGGACAGGGTGGGATTGTTGGGGTGTCTCTGCAGGGCCAGGAGTTGGACTGAATGATCCTTGTGGGTCCCTTCCAGCTCAGAATATTCCATGATTCTATAATTATTGGTAAACAGGCGAAGTCCTCAATCCACTGATCAAATACAACGTATAAAATATATTGTCTGTGAAACAGCATTTCAGCTGGAGCCAATTTGAGCAGAAATGTGTCAGGGCAGTCCAGCAAACTCCAGTGAAACATTTCAATTACCAGAATGTCAGTTCTGTTGGTTCAGCTTCCACAATATCTCTTATCTTTCAAAATAAATAAAATAAACCCTCTGCTTGGGGAGGAATCGAGACAAAATGGATGGAAAATTCCAAAATTTGCACTACTCTGCTAACAAAGGAGGAGATTGATGTCACTTAACTTCTCTTTAGCTGAAGTCAATATGCAGCCTAAGGGAGTTATTTACTTTTCCTTGGCAGGTGCCTCCGTCTCAAATGAGACACCGAAGTTTTAGCTGAGCAAAGCTGGGGGAATGAAACTTATCCACAGTGTCTGAAAAAACCCTCTGCCTTTATTGAAGGCAAACTGATGAGCAGCACAGGCAAAGAGAAGCTTTACTTGTCAGGCTGTTTAGTGCCACAAACCAAAAAATTTGGCCACCCAAAAAAATAAAATCCTGTGCTTTGTGCATAG